CTATCTATCTATCTATCTATCTATCTATCTATCTATCTATCTATCTATCTATCTATCTATCCTCACTACACCCCTCTATCTATCTATCTATCTATCTATCTATCTATCTATCTATCTATCTATCTATCTATCCCATCCACCCCTCTATCTATCTATCTATCTATCTATCTATCTATCTATCTATCTATCTATCTATCTATCCCCACACACCCCCTCTATCTATCTATTTATCCCCATACAGCCATCTCTTTCTTTCTCTCTGACCACACTCGGTAAATTTTCCCAGCACAGTCACAAGTGCGTTCATTAAAACTTCCATTCAGCGTACAGCTTCACTGCAGTTAATGTGGGCTGTGACCCGAGGTTTAGCCCTACCCCCCCACCCAGCCCCCTACTATCCACACACAAAACCCTTTAACCTCAGTGGATATGAGCTTTGAGCTCAGGACGGCTATTGCAGTTCAGGGTACAGTTTAGATCCCGGTTCTGCTTTAACTTGGGCTAGAACCTGCTCACTTTGTAGTGAGGCCTCGACCAGGAATGCCGTAAGTGCCGCCCCCCCCCCCCCAAAGTTGTGTACAGGAGGTGTGCTCCTTGGCGGGTTAGTGTGGAATGTGGATTCTGCAGAGAGGTGCTTCTCCCAGTTTGTGTCCCCGGGGCAGGGAGTCAGGGGTTTGTTTACCAACAGGCAGGGAGATTAAGATAAGAAAAGGCTGGTAAGTAAATTAACGATCTGGAAATCTTTAGATGAACCTTTAAAACAAGAATCCTACTGCAGGGGGTGGGAGGTGTTGAAGAAATCCCAACCCCTGAGACTGCAGGGGACTCAGAAGAAATACAGCCAAGCCCTCGGAGCCCAGTTACATTCAGAAAAGGGAGATGTGAGGGGTGTAGGTAGGGTTACCATATCTAATAAATAAAAAAAGAGGACCCTCCACGGGCCCTGGCCCCGCCCATTTTCCCACCCCAGCCCCGCCCCAACTCCGCCCCTTCCCCGCCCTATCTCCGCCCTCTCCTCCCTCCCACTCCCAGCCACGCGGAAAGGGCTGCCCGAGTGCTACCAGCTTCACGGTTTGCTGCAGCCCCCAGACCCTGCGCCCCCGGCCGGCGCTTCCCCAGCGCAGCTGGAGCCCGGGAGGGGAAGCGCCCAGCTGGGGGCGCAGGGTCTGGAGGCTGCCCGGCAAACCGTGAAGCCGGTAGCGCTTGGGCTTCGGGCAGCCCCCTTGCCTCCGGACCCTGCGCCGCCGGAGCCCAGGAGGGGAAGTGCCCGGCCGGCGGCGCAGGGTCCGGAGGCAAGGGGGCTGCCCAAAGCCCGTAGCGCTCGGCTCTTAAACAGAGCCGAAGAGTTGGGGAGGAGCAGAGCCGCCATTTTCCCGGACATGTTCGGCTTTTTGGCAATTCCCCCTGGACGGGGGTTTGAGTGCCGAAAAGCCGGACATGTCCGGGAAAAAGAGGACGTATGGTAACCCTAGTGTAGGTGAAAAGAAGGGGCCAAAACCAGAGGAAGGGCGAGCAGTGGGATAGAGAAGTTCCCACTCTGCCTGTGGTACTGATGTGGCCTCACATCACAGCCCCTCGGTAAGGCAGAGCAGGGCTGTTATCCCCATTGTACAGGTGGGGCACTGAGGCACTCACAGACTAAGGGCCAGATTTTCAAAGGTATTTAGGCCTAGGGGGATTTTCAAAAGCACCTAGAAGGTTTGGTGCTTTGTAAACCCCACTGGATACCTGGCTGCATCTTTGGGTGCTTAAAGACCATTGAAACCCTGTCCCTAAGGTACTGGCCTGTGGTCAGACAGGCAGTCCATGGGGGAATAGCACCCACATCTCTCAGGGCCAGCTCCTGATCCACGGCACCAGCCTTTCTCTCTGCTGATAGACTGGAGCAAAACCAAGGCGGCCAGTTCTCTGAGACTCCAGCCCCCGGTCCCAGGAGGTGGGGAAGGATGTCATGGGTGACAGCAGGAAAAGCAGCACAGAGATCAGGAAGGAGGAAGGAAGAGAGACTGAGAGTCAGATGAAAGGAGGACATTTAACCCCCCCGGGGTGGCAGGTTCTGCCCCAGGCCGGGCTGTAGAGCAATGCCTGCTGGGCAATTTTACATTGGAACTGAAAACCGTTTGGTTTTGTCCTTTTTTGTTCTGAGTTTGAGAAAAGGAAGGAACGAGAAAGTGTCGTATGAGCACCAGGTGTGTTTATGCCTCAAGCTGCATCCAGCTGAATTCCAGAACAAAGAACAAAAACTGCATCCACAGAGTCCATAAAGTCGAGGATTATTGTCACGGTTTGTGTTATTCACACGGCACCATCTGTGCGCTCAGCACTGTTCAGAATACGGCAGACAATCCAGTCCCTGAGCCAATGCAGATAAGCTGTGTGACTCCGGATAAGACGGCTCAGATATTTAAGTGTGAAGTGTGGAGTTATTGACCACACCTGTTATCACATGGTCACTGTGATGTTTATATCGGTGAGTGGAGGTGCTGATGGCAATACAAGTTTTGCTGGATTAAGGACTAGACGATTTGACCCTCCCACTTTCTTTCTAGAGGAAGAGCTGCCCAGAGCTCCTGTGCCGGTTTATTTTCCTTTCCTGTGCGCAGTGGCCCCGAGATACCTCAGACGTCTCGATTTTTTTTCAACATTAAAACGTGGAAGTTTCTTGGTGTTTGCTTTTAAATATTCTCCTGTGAGAACTGCATCTCAATCACTGTAGTGTTGTGTTTAAGAGCCTTCTGGAGGGCAACTTGCATTTAAACAGAAGTGAAAGCAGTGTTGCCAATTCTATGATTTTTTCATGAGTTTCATGATAATTATTGTTTTTCTTAAAGCCTCAGCTCCTGGAGTCATGTGGCTATGTGATGATTTCAGGATTGATTCTTAAAGAAAAATGAAGTTTCTAGCCCTCGTGACTGTGGAGAAAGCTTCAAACTGTGACCCCAGTGCACCATAAATGCTCAAAAAAGCAGAAGTCAAATAAAAATAACTCAATATCTGTTATTTTTACAGAATTTCATGGTTTTAAGTCAATCTCATGATTTTTGGTGAGCCTGATTCATGAGTTTTGAACATTTGGGGTTGGTAATACTAGGAAAGTGACTTGAAAGTGTCAGTTTCACTCCTGTTTAAAGTCAGTTTCTAGTCTATTATTTGTAACAGCGTATCACCCCTAGAGCCCCCGGCAGGTGCAGTATAAACTCACAGGGCCTTGCCCTAGTAGGATGTTTCCAAAGGTTAAATGATCTATTCCAAGCTTGGTGAAATGCAAAAAATTGATAGGAAGTAATCAAGATTTTTCTACAATTGTTTCAATTGTTGTATTCAGGAATTAGTAACAAAGTAAGAATATATAGTAAAGTTTTAAACCTAACCAGTGTCCCTTAAGGGACTTGACACACTATTAGAGCCGAGTGGGTCTAATATTTATTTAATTTTCTTTCTTTATATCTGAGTTAGATACTGGGCTCCTGTCAGATAATAATTTCTGAGTTATTATCTGCAAAAAAACAAGAGTTTTCAGGTGCCCAAGTAGTTGCTGGAATCACGGATAAAGTTGCCCCTCGTTATCAAAATCTGATATGGTGTCCCTGGCTGTGACCCGGGTTACTTCACACGGATGCCAGTAGTCCTCCAATGCCTTCCCATAATTCCTTTGGGGCTGTGTTTTCCTGCCCTTCTCCCCACTCCCTTCTTCTGCACTGAAATCACCTGCCGGTTTATACACCCCTTGGTGATGTTTTAAACCCCATATTCCCTGCAGCCGGCTCCGGCTCTACCCGGCTCTCAGCAGAGACCCCGTCGCAGAGACTCACGGCAGAGAAGGCCCAGCTCAGGGCAGCGCTAGGAGCCCTGGGACATGCCCCCAAAGGCCTAGCGCTGCGCCGGGGTTAGTGCAGCACCGGCCTGGCGGTGTCCAGGTGGGTCTAACCTCCAGGAAGCGTTGCAGTGCGGACGCTCACCCCAGGGGGTGGCTAACCCGGGTTCACTCGGCAGTGCAGACACTACCACTGAGTCCTAGACGCCAGGGCCAGAAGGGACTGTTGTGATCATCTCAACTGACCCCTGGCTCAGCACAGCCCAGAGACCTGCCCCAGATCATCCCTAGGGCAGAGCTGGGAGAGACACCTCCCGTCTGGCTTTACAGATTGTCCCTGATGGAGAATCCACCACGGCCCCTGGGAGATTGTCCCAGTGGTTAATGACCCTCCCTGTGAAACAGTCCCCTTATTCCCAGTCGGAGTCTGTCCGGCTCCAACTCCCAGCCGCTGGATGGCGTCCGACCGTCCGCCGCCCGACTGAGGAGCCCGTCAGTAAATGTTTGTTCCCCGGGTAGGATCACGTCACCCCCGAACCGTCTCTGTGTTCAGCTCCATAGATCGAGCTCCTGGCGTCTCTCACGCTGGGGCAGGTTTTCTAACCCTTTAATCGTCCCCGCAGCTCTTCTCTGACCCCTCCCCAACTAACCAACGTCCTTCCTTAAGAGTGGGGCTCAGAACAGGAAACAGGCTCCCAGCAGGGTCGCCCCAGAGCCAAACTCGGAGGTCAGATAACCTCCCTGCTCCTCCTCGAGGTTCCCCTCCTGGCCTCTCAGTTCTGTTCTTTGTTTTCTTTCTTTACACTAGATGGGACAAAGATCACTCTCTTCTCCAAAGGCTGTCTAAGTGACTATAATAGTGGCATAAAAAGCCCCATCACTTTCACTGTTGGGAAGGACAAGTATGTGAGGATCAACACTGAAGGATGCAACAACGCAGATAAATGTAATGTGAATGTGCTGGAAGGTAAGTTACGGATCTGTTTTTACTGTCCCTCTTTAAGGGCTTATCCATATGAACAGTTATACAGCACTGAGCTGGGGGGGATCCAGCTCCCCGCATGCCCCCTGCTAATGCTCGTGAACAGCTCGTTCGAGTACCTTGGAAGGGCACTAGCTCAAAGCATATTAACGAATGGTTCACATGTGTCAGCAGGGTGCACGTGGCCATCTAGGCCGTGGCAGGCTGGCACAGGGTCGATTCACACCCTGGCGGGTCCTTAGACTCCCCCGCCCCTTGCCACAGTCGAATGGTTCATGTGCACAAGCCCCGGCACAAGTGTATTATTTCCCATTTCTCCCCTTTACTGCCCCCAACGTCCATTTACTCAAATGTCATTTCTGTCTCCACGGAAATGCCGGTCGCTGGCGGGTCTCCAAACCAGGGGGTGGAACAGTCGGGGCCCATGTGAAATCAGACGGGCGAGGGCTGCACGTGAGAGAGGGGGCAGCAGCCGGGATGGGCTCAAATCTAAACAACCCTGAACCTGTCAGGCTCCATCTTCAAACTAGTGGGAGGTTTGCCCACCCCCTTCCCATGGGAAGCTGCTCCAAGACCTCCCTTGTCTGATGGCTGGAAACCAGGTTCAGAGCCCCAAGGCTGTTCATCGCCGGCCAGTTTATCCCCGGGGGTCCTTGTGTAAAAAATTCAAAACCGCCCGTTTGGCCATTTCCCAAAACAATGTGATTTCCTGTCGCTTTCAGCGTTTGAAGCAGTGAGTGATCACAACTGTGACGTAGCCACAGAGCCGTGGGGGGAGAACACACATGGCTGGGATCTCGGCTCTGAGGGGCACAGCTTGCTCCAGGCGGGCAGGGACAAAGGGAGGAGCGGTTGCCTTGTATAGCAAAAGTGTCTGACCTGCTCTGAGGCTGAGATGCGAATAGGAGACAGACTTGTGGAAAATCTCCGGGTAGGGATAAAAGGGGGAAAACCAGGGGGGTGGGGGGGTGGCGCCATGGTAGGGTTGGCTCCAGACCAGCTAACTGGGAAGAAGAGGTGGAGGAGGCTTTTTTTAAACAACTCACAAAATCATCCAAAGCCCAGGACGTGGTAGTGATGGGGGATTTCAACCACCCAGAGATCAGTTGGGAAAATAACACAGCCAGGCACAGATCATCCAGCAAGTTCTTGGAATGTGTTAGAGATAATTTTTTATGGCAAACTCCCCCGCCTTGCCAAGGATTCAGTGCCTCTCCCTCAAGCCCCTCTTCCCCCATCCCACCACCCCCCTCCATGCCAGGTCTGTGTATATGCCGCCTTCATCCCCATTCCCCCTCCCCCCTTTCCTCCTCCTTGCTGTCTGGGAGATCGATCATTGCGGGTGTCACCATATTGCACCCCTGGGGACGCTGGGCAGAGCGGAGATGGGGATGTGGGGGTGTCAGTGGGGCCATCGACCAGGTATTTGGCCTGCAGACAATCACAGAGGTGTTTGGGCTGATCAGATGGCGGGGTGTGTGGGCGGGGGTGTTTCTGATTTCTCCCAAAGAGGAGCATGCTTCTGGCCCTGGGTGCCTAGAAAATGCTGGAAATTCTGGAACTGATCAGCTCAGCTGCGGGGTTCAGCGGTTGGCGTGTGACAGACAGACGGAGCAATGCCACTGGGCTGGGGGTGGAGCCTTTGCGTGCTCAGGCAATGCAGGGCAGTGGGCACACCCCGCTGTTCGAACGAGGTTTAACCCACCCGGTAACCGTGTGTCTCTCTCGGTTCTCAGTGCCCACGGTGGACTCTACCGTAAAAGAGGTGCAGTGCCCAACCTGCTTTGCTCTGAACGGCGAACCCTGCAACACCCAAACCATCCCTTGTACAGGGAATGAGGACCATTGCGTCGATTTCGTTGGGATCCTAACGAAAGGTAAATTCTGCCAGCTGGCCGCAGTGCGGGAGCTGCCCTGGGAATCTCATGGCTCAAGAACTCCCCAGAGAGCTGGTGAAACCTAGGGCCAGTCTACACTAGAAGTGCTACAGTGGCACCATTGTAATGCATCTGGTGAAGACGCTTTTTGCCTAATAACCCCCCCGCTCCGCAAGCGGCAGTAGGTACATCAGTGGGAGAAGCTCCTCTGCCAACATAGCGCTGTGCACACCAGCCCTTAGGTTGGTGTAACCTATGGTGCTTGGATGAGGGGGGCTTTTTCACATCCCTGAGTGACATCACTTATAATGTAATGTAGACAAGCCCCTAGAGCCTACCAGACCTCCAGGCTGTGCTGAGTCCTTGGGCAGATGGGGGCCCAGATCAGCCGGAGGGAAGGAGAGAGGAAATATAGCATTTCCTCTTCCAGACTAGCTCCCCCCTCCTTCAGTGATGACAACGCGTCTCTTGCCATGGGAAGGGTTGTTATGTCGATGATGCAGAGCTGGGAGAGAACCCAGGAGTCCTGGATCCCAGCCCCACTGCTCTAACCACTAGACCCCACCCCCTGTATGTTGAAGGTGGAGCTAAGCTATTGCTCAGTGCGGAAGCTCCTGTTCTCAGTGTGTGTCCAGGACTCCCAGCGCTTTGGGGTGTTTATACAATAACTGAACCGAGCGGTTGGGGCTGCTGGGGACGGTGAGAGCCGGACGTGTTCCCCGGGGGGGCCGGGCGCTGGGGAAGGAGCCGCCCCCGACGATCAGCTGGTCCCAAACTCCAGCTTCAGTGTCTTGTGGAGCTGCAGAAAGGGGCCCGGGGGAGACGAGAGGGGACCAGACGCCCGCCCTGCCGTGGCCGGTTACAGCGAGAGCAGGGAGAGCACCGGGCGGGTGGGAACGGGAGGCAGAGGTGGGAATTGCTGGATGGTGGAGACAGAGGTTCTGGGAGCAGAGAAGGAACCAGAGCTGCCCACACCTAATAACAGGCTGATTTCCTCCATCAGAGTCAGCTGATGCACCAGTTTCAATATTTGCTGCAAAAGGCTGCGGTTCTGCGTCTACAACAAACATAAAACCTGGAACCTCCCTGGTTTCTGCAGTCTACACATACAAGTTCACAAAGGCAACCTCCAATCCTGCAGAGAAAATAACCCCCACCACCAAACCACCCACCACCACCAAACCAACCCCTGCCACCACCAGTGGGGCCAGCCCGGCTCTGGGGAAATTCTCCTTTGCCCTCTACCTGCCTGGCCTGACTGGGCTGCTGCTGGTGAAACTGCTCTCCTGACCCCACCTGGCACGGCCCACGCAGCACCCGATTCCTGCCCATGGCAGCCCGATCTATGAATCATACATTAAATTCTATTGATTGCTTACCAAGTTCCAGTGATCACTGGGAGGTCTGACAGGTTCTGGGCCCTAGATCCGTCCCAGTGTTATTAAAATTGCTGTTCAGTTGGGAACCCCGAGGGGGCCGGTCGCAGCCCTCGCACTGGAGGAACCATCTTTGTTTGTAATCGTTGATCAACACATTTAGCAGAGTCCCAAACGCTCCAGCCCAGCCCGGGGGACAGCGATACCACAGAATGTCCATCTTCCCATCCCCACACACCGCCCCTTGCAGAACAACCGGAAACGTTAGCCAGTGTCTTCCTTCTCACCATCATCTTCCTCATCATCACCCAGGGCCATCATCTGGGCACCCCCAAACGCTACATCTTGCTCGCCCCTTGCCCACATGCTGGGGTACAACTTTTATAATATGTTACGCTGGCGCCACTGTGCCTAATGCCTATTCAGTAGGGGCTTCTCCCCTCCTCCTTATCTGTGTCTCCTCATCCTACCGATGTTGGGGTCCCTTCTCCGGTAGGTTAGGATGTTACTGATCTCAACTTATTATCAGACAGTCAATTCCTTGCTGTGGCCGGCTTGTGGTCAGACATCTGCAGAAGTTCCTACAATATCCCAACGCCGGTGTTAGCTCACGTCCCTGTGGCTGGCTGGTGTTGTTACGGACAAACCGCCCATTTAACCACTCTGTTCCCAGTCCCCCAAAATGACCGTTGGGCCATTTATCTGTGCCAAATTTTCCCCAAGCCTTATGCTACCTGCTGCAGCCAGTGTCTTATGGGAGACAGGCCTGGGGGTTTCTTGTGTTACTGCTGAATGAAATAAATGTTAAAGCTGGCTCGATGGGTGACAGGATAAAGGCCTGAAGTCCCAGCTGCCCCCCTCCGAGGCCCCTCCGCACTGCCGGGGCGATGCAAAGGGGCCGCTGCATAGCCAAGGGTCTGCCCAGCGTATGGGTGTGTGTCTGTCCCGGTACCTCGCGGCTGGCTGGAATCTCTCTGCATTAGCAAATTCACTGAATAAATCAGGATCCGAAATAAAAGCCCCCGGTGTGTTATTAGTTTCAAGTGTCCTGTTTCTAAGCCTCTAGGCGTTGACTCCATGGGTGCTCTGGGGCTAAGTACCCACCAGCAGCTCCGCAGATCAGCTCCTCCCCCTCCTCCCCAGCCCTCCCACCTGCCAGTGCTCAGCTGTTCAGTGGAGCGCAGGAGGTGCTGGGGGAAGGGGGAGAAGCGGTGGCAGGAAGGGTCGGGGCAAGAAGGGGTGGGTGGGTCCAGGGGCAGAGCGGGGGTCGAACACTCCCCAGGAACTCGGGAACCTCTGGCTGAGCCCATCCGCATGAGACTGGGGCGCTGTCAGATGCATTAGCCACAGAAGAATTTGCTTGGCTCTGTGTATATACACACCCTGGGCAACCCACATGAGGTTCTGGGAATGAAGAACGTAGGTTTTATTTTGCACCTGTGCTGAAGCCTGGGCTCTGGGACCCTGCGGAGTCTCCCCTGCAACTTCCACACTGCTGGTCACCCAGCGCTGAGATGCAGCTGTCTCTGGGGTGGGGCACGGGGGCTGTTTATACAGGGATCCTTTACCCGGAGCTAAGATGCAGCCCCTTCTAGGGTGGGGCAGCACAGACCCCGTCTGCCCTGCAGGTTTGATTTGGCACCGTGCCGACCCGCAGTGCAGATGACTCCACTATTGTGAATGGGGCTGGAATCGATGCAGAACATTTACTTTGGGGTTCAGCCCCAGGGCAGCTGCACTGGTCGGGGGCTGGGGGAGCAGAGTGCAGAGCCAGCTTCAACCAGCGTCACAAGGGGGTGAGGCCCGGGAGCCGATTGTCACCTGCGGAGCAACATTACACAGGAGCTCAGGGCAAGTGTCATATTTACACGAAACATTCCTGGCTTGAGGCCAAAGTCAAGTAAGAGGAAACTGCCTGGCTACTGGGAGTCAGGGGATGAAGCTTCTACTCCGCCCTTATCTCATTTATGTGCCATTGTATTGACATGACCCTTGCTCAGCAACTCGGGGGAAAGTCCATGTGCCCAGGAAATGGAAAGTGAAAAATACAGTTGTCTTCAGAGTCACTAACAACCAGAGCTGTGGAGAATGATGGGAAACTGGCTTTCAAGGTCATAAGTTTTTGTACCACTCAGCAGAGAGGGTAACACTGGTGTCAGCGGTGGGATACTGGTATGACAAGTGGGATACCAGGCAATCTCTCTCTCTCTCTCTCTCTCTCTCTCTTGGATTTACACCCTGCCCATCCCTGCAGTAGCTCAGCGCCTACCTCTAGATTTTACCAGCCACAACAGCCGTGGGCCTCCCAGCACCCAGACAGCAGCCAGAAACTCCCAAACTCACGCCAGAACCTGCGTGTGAAATCCACCCCTCCTGTGGAGAGGGGCCGGCACAAAGTCCCCCGCAAGCCCCTGAAATGAAACCCTCTGTAGAGGGGTAAATTTCAACCTCGTTGATCAAAATTGGCCCAGCTCCACACAAGGAAGGCTGCTTGTGTCAACACCGGAGGCTGTTGCAAACCAGGCCAATGCCATTGTGGGCTGTATTAACAGGCGTGTCGTCGGTTCAACCCGGGAGGTCGCTGTCCCGCTCCGCTCGGCACTGCTGAGGCCCGGCTGGAGCCCTGGCCCGATTCGGGGCACCGCGCTGTGGGAGAGATGCGGACAAACTGGAGGGAGCCCAGACAGGCAACAAAAGTGCTCCGATGTTTGGAAACCTGCCCCAGGAGGAAAGATTAAAGGAACTGGGCGTGCTCAGTCGGAAACAAGGGAGCGGGGGGCACCTGACAACAGCCCTTGAAGGTGTGAGAGGTTTTTATACCGCGGCCGGGGAGCGATTTTCTCCAGGCCCTGGCGAAAGGAGCAGCAGGAGCCGGCTCAGGTGCCGCAGGGGAGATGGAGGTCGGAGGTGGGAAACTCTCTAACTCCCAGGGCAGCTCAGCTCTGGGATCGGCTCCCTGGGGCTGTGGGATCCCGGCACTCGAGGGTTTTAGCTTCAGGTTGGACAAAACCCCATCAGGCCTGGTCTGGGCTCACTTGGCCCTGCCTCAGCGCCGGGGGCTGGACGTGGGCACCTCGCAAGGTCCCTCCAGCCCCACATATCTATGATTCTGTGCCCATTTCTTCCCCATTCCTCACATGGACCCCTGCCCCGCAGCCCGGCCGGCTGGACTGAGACCTAAACCTCCGGTCAACGCCGGTCCGGTCCTGGGTTCGATCCCTGGCTCTGGGAGGGGAGTGGGGTCTAGTGGTTAGATCAGGGGGGGCTGAGAACCAGGACTCCTGCGTTCTGTCCCCAGTTCTGGGAGTGGGAGTGGGGTCTAGTGTGTTAGAGCAGGGGGGCTGGGAGACAGGACTCCTGGGTTCTCTCCCCAACTCGAGGTTCCACTAAGCTCCAAATTCCCATTACATAGCCATAGGAGATGAAGGGACCTATGCAGTGCCCAGGCCCACAAATACAGTCCCAGGAGTGCCCCATATGCACGCTGCCCGTGTGGGTGTCCCTAGTGAGGGGACTGGCCTCTGCTGGCTGGGAAAGGCTGAGAACTGCGCTAACCTCTGTTGCCTGCTTTAGGAGGTTAATAGTATTAATTTGGATAATATGGGTTATAGGCTCACCAATTAATCTGCTCAGAAGATAATAAGGTTCTTGCCCCAGGCTCAGGCTACACAGAGTTTGCAAGGACAAGGAAACTCCCACTGAAAACAAAAATGGAGACTCTTCGAGACTTTTATTGCGATTATAAGAGACAAAGGGCCAGCCCCTGACATGCCCAGAGAGCGCTGAGTGGGAGGTGCAGGGCTCGGGAGAAACTAAAGAGCTAAAAAGCTGCAGAAACCTATAGACCACAAAATGTCAGGGTACGCTCACTCCCTAGGCTGGCATGTTTGTACGTATTAATGCCATGTACCGACCTATTAATGCCATTAGCTCATTCTCACCTCTGCTATTTCTGGCCTAACCGGTTCTTCCCATGTTCTTTGCCATGTGCCTGTTAAGTTTAAAGAGCGTCTGAATGTAGGTCCGCCCCCCTGCCCCCGCTCCCCATACTAACTTGCTTCAACGCATCCTCACTTATCTGTGTTCAAGGTCACCACCATATATGGAGCGAATGTTTTAGCTTATCAGCCAGCTAGGTGAAAGGTCCGGAACAGGTATTCGCTACCTGTGTCTTAGCTCAGCATCTGGGATGTGGCCTGGAGGTCCCTCACGTTACAGCCAAAAGTATTCTAATATAAACCTAGAAACCTAGTACAGTCAAACAATCAACCCCGAGGAAACCCATAAGAAAAGGCAGATAGGCAAGCAAGCAGGCCAGCCAGAGGGACAGGAGATGAGCCCTGCTGGGGTCATATTTCCTCGAGGGGCACTGCTGGAGAAGTGGAGGAGAAATAAGGATCGGTTCTATTTCAACAGTGATTTAATGCTGGTAAATCCCCTGGGCTCGGCCACACGGGTCGGACCAGCTGAGCACGGAGATCTCTCCTGGCCCTAGAACCCAGGAATTCTGGCTGGGGTCAGTGGGGCCGGATCTCCAGGGATGTCCATCGGCCGTGGCTCCATTGGAGTCAATGGGGCCAGACTCCCAGCTGGGGTCAATGGGCCGTGGCTCCATTGGAGTGATGCTGGTTTCCATGAGCTCAGGGTCTGGGCACAGATGGGATTTATCTGCAGGTTGCTCCGTGCTGGTGGCCTGCACCAGGGGGTAGGAAGCACAGTCTAGTGGTGAGAGCGTCAGCCTGGCAGTCAGGAGAGCTGTGTTGAATTCCCTCTGTGGCCTAAGGCAGGTCCCTCAGTTTCCTCATCTCTGGAAGGGGACGACTAGCCCTGGCCTGCCTCCCGATCAATCCAACCAGAGTCTGCGGCGCTCTGGCGATTCCTAGACCCCCCACCCAGAAGGGACTGGTACGGCCGTCGCGCCCGACCTCCCAGGGATCACAGAACTTCTCTGGACTAATTCCTGCTGATCCACAGCAGGTTTTGAGGAAACGCAGATTTAA